GTTATTTCTTGAAGTACCACTGAAGCCTTACGGTGTTATTGGTAATGTCATAAATAGACTTGAGGGAAAAAAAAAGTTAAAGCGGAGAGAATGAATCAGGTAGCAACACAGCTTACTTTCTCTCATGCATCCTCTTCCATCTTTCCTTTGACAAAAGCGAAAAAGCTTAAAGAAACAAGAGCTTGTAGGGCTGGCTAGCTGGATTGAGGGACGGACACGCGGACGGACGGAAGGCATCGCTCGATATCACAAGAAATATATTTACTTCGTCATTTGCCGCGAGGATACGAAATTTTTCAAGTGCGATGGAGTACTCAACTAGATGCATGCTCGCCTTCGTTTTACCGGGTTTAAGAGTTTGCAGGTGAAGTAGTTCATGACCTGTCACAATCAGAACCTAAAATATCTAATATTGGTTTACCTGCTGCTGGAGCACTTATTTTTTGTTAAGCAAAAGGCGTCTTGTGTATCTATGATGATGAACTCGTCTTCCTTTCCTTTTTCGCGCGTTGTTCCTTGCCTTTGTCGCGCATTGTTTTCTCTCAAGGATTTACATTTGCTTCCAAGAGCAAAATTCCTACCGTAAACCAGCTTAGGAAATACAAGCAGACTGCCCGGCAATTATTTATATAAAAAAAGTTAGCATATAATGAGCCTGGTAGAGATTTTGTAAATCAGAGATGCTACTTGTTCTTGGAATAATTCATGCTCTACTGGCACTTGTGCATCACTGCATTTTCGAAGGCCAGCAGGTTTTATTTAGTCTTAAAAGAATATCCAAACTATTTGAATCATCCAAATGCCCAAGGTTAGTTCAGAAATTGATAGTCCTACCGTTTACCTCCTAAGCTAATTTTTCTTTCAGTTATTCTCTTCTAAGGCTGAACAGTTTTAGTGAGATATAGGTCACGTGACCCTCAAAGAATCTTTGGGACACTCATCCTACACTTTTTATACGATCAGAACAAAGCAGTCAGCGAATATTTACTGCAATTCGAACTCGTACCTATGTACGATTACCGGAATGTAGTTTTTGCAGAG